GTAGTCTTCTTAGTGGATATGAAGCAGTGGTTCATCCTGATTCCCATCCCCCTAAGGATGTTGAACATCTTTTCATGTGCTTATTGGCCACTTGCATATCTTCTTTGGAAAATGTCTAGTCAACTTCTTGATCCATTTTTAAGTCCGTTTGTTTGTTTAGTTGTTGAGTTAAGCAAAATTTTTATGTATTCTGGTTATCAACCTCTTCTCAGGCAGATATATAATTTGTAAATATTTGCTCCCACTGCTGGGTTCTCTTTCTACTCTATTGATTGTGTCCTTTGATGCGCAGAAGGTTTTAATTATGACATCCACTTTGTTTGGTTTTTCTTTGTTGTCTATAATTGTGTTGTCATAATAGAGTTTTAATTATCATTCACTACTTCTAAACAGTAGTATTATTTCTTCAGTGATAAGTTATTTTAAAGGATGTTTTAAAGTTTCAAAACACGTGTGAACTTTACGTGTATCTCCTCATTCTAAATGTCTACCTGAACTGCACTGCCTTCAGAGAACACATGTGTGTGGCTCTGTATGAAATGAACTGGGATTTATTCTAGAGGCCTAGTATGTCATCTCACTTTGTAAATATCCCACATGTGCCTGAGAACATGTGTGTTCTCCTTGTTGAAAAAAATTCTCCATATGTCATTAGATCAAGCATGTGAGTTGCATTGCTTAAATTTTCTCTCTCTTTCCCTCTCTCTTTCTCTCTCCCTCTCTCTCTCCCTCTCTCTTTCTCTCTCTTTCCCTCTCTCTCTTTCTCTCTCTCTGCTAAGTTTTTGACTTGCTCTCCCCTCACTATTGTCAGCGCTTTTCATTTCAAATCTCTTCTGTCTGACTGTCGCAGAGCGGCCCCAGCATGCTCTTAGCTAATACCTGCTGTGCATTTTTTAATGCTTTAACCTTCAACCTTTTTAAACGTGATTTGGTTTCAGCCAGATCTTTTGAAAAGTTTATAGCTTTACAATTTGTATCTAAATTTGCAACCTTTTTTTTTACTATTTGTCAAGTTAAACACATTGATATTTGTTATGAATGTTGATATATTTGAGTGTGTTATGATCCTATTTTAAAATATTTGACCAGTTTCTATGTTTTTATGTTTGCCTTTCATGCCTTTTTGCTTTTTAAAAAATGATTAGCCTTTTTGATAAATTTTCTTTCTCTCTCCTCCTCCTGCTCCTGCTCCTCTTTGTCATATTAGAAATCATCTCCCCTCCACACCCCTTCCCCCGTGTTTCTATTCTTTGGGGATTACCCTGAGATTTTATCACACATATTTAACACTAAGAATGTTAAAATTAAATAATATTTTCTTTCCAAGAGTAGTTCTCTCTCTCTCTCTTTCTCTCTCAAAAAAAAAAAAAAAAGACTTTAGAATTTCCTTTTATTCTATTATTTACCTGATAGTTCACATTTTTTCATTCCCACAAATTACCTGAGATAAACATTGCTCTTTTAAAAGTGAGGACTTATTTGCTTTTTTTTTTTTTTTTTCACCCTGCCTTCCTGCATCTCAGGTCATTTGCCTTCTCTTTGTATTACATTCTGAAGAAATTCTTTTATTTGAGGCTCCTGGCAATACGTATGTCTAGCTACACATTCTCTTTTGTCCTCATTCTTAAATGATGCTTTTGCTGGTGATACAATTTTACATTAATTGTCCTTTTCACTCAACATTTTAAGACTATATTTTAACTGTCTTCTGGCTGCCAGTGATGTTGAGAAAATCTGCTCTTAGTTTAACTGCTGCTCCCTTCTGGGTGTTTGGTATTTCTGGCTGCTTGGAAGGTCTGTATTTATTTGCCTTTGAAGTTCTGCAGCTTCGCTGCTGTGCATCTCCGTGCAAATATCTTTTTATTTATCCTTCTTGAAATACACTGTGGTTCCTGGGCCTTGGGATCTGCTTTTCAGCAGTTAAAAATGCTTTATTCTAAGGCTGATTATTCATTCCTAATAATTTTTTTTGGGGGGGGGTTAAAATGTACGCTACTAGTCATCTTCCTGACACTATGAGAAAGTATCTGACATAATCAAGGTATACGGAGGGAGGTTTCATTTTGGTTCATGATTCCTGAGGTTTCAAAGGTCCGTGGTCACCTAGCCTTGTTGCTTTGGGCCTGTGGCAGCTCAGGGCACTGTGGCAGGAGTGTGGGTGGCTGAGAACTGCTTACCTTGTGGCATCCCAGAAGCAGAGAGAAGCTGGGTGGGCGTGGCTTCCACCATCCTTCTCAAGGGCATCCCTAACAGCCCCACTCCCTCCCAATGAGCCTTACCTCCCTGAGGGTTCTGTCTCCTCCAGGTAGCACCATAGGCTGGGGACCAAGCCTTAGCCACATGGGCCTTTGGGGGACATTTCCTATCCAGGAGGCGTTCCATATTATTGCACATACCTAGCCTATTTTTTTTTTATTTGGCTGTCCCACCATCTATAATTCTTATGGCTCTGATCTCAGCTTGTCTTCAGGGCCTTGGGTCCTGGCTGTCTTGGCCCCTATCCCTCAGCCTTGGAAAACTTTTATTTTTCACTTGGTTTAGGATCATGCCCTGTGCCAGAGAGACCAGCAGTCCCTAAGAGGGTACATCTACTGGGGAACCAGAAGATTCCTTGGAGCTTCTATATATTTAGGGTAGAAGCCACAATATTTTTTCTAGCCCAAGCACAGTATAATGCAATTTCATCTGTTACTTTAAATAGTACCTTTAAAAAATTTTTAAAAATATCTAATTGACAAACACTTTATACATTCAAGACATAAAATAGGATGATTTGTAATATGTGTATGTTAAGTAATACTTACTACAACCAAGTTACATAACACATCCATTACCACCCAGGCTTTGGAACTTGTTCATTTTTCCTTTTTTTTTTTTTTTTTTTT